TTCGAGTAATAACTGTAATATTTTTCTAAGTAATATGTATTTAAACGTTTTAAAGTGTTGTAGAGAGTAATAAATGCAAAGCTGTTATCGGTTAATCGATTCATAAGAATGAAAGTGAAAGAATTGCATAAAAGGTACCGTTTTTGTATGCTTCTGGGCGTGTACACGTATACATGTATATGCATATAAAATGAAATAGTTTTATATACTTTGAAATTTTAATATAGGGTGTCCCAAAATTAACTCTAGATTTGAATTAAGTAGAAAACATTTTTTTATTTAATAATAAAATACATAAGAATCATTAAATACACACAAGTTTTGCGTCAAATTTGGGACACCATATATATGTAAATACTATATGTATTTGCAAGTCTATGCGCCTGTGGTAAGTTATCATTCATTATTCTTATTATATATATAAATTTTTTTTAAAAAGATATGTACATAAAAGGCAAAAAACAATTTATGAAAGTCAATGATAGAATGTACACCGATGATCAAATGCAGAAAGACTGCAAGTGACGTTAATTTCAATTTATTTTTTTCGCTTGCATCAAAGTTGCCAGCATTTTTCAATAGCTCATAAATTTTTAAAAATACCAATAAAGAAATTTTCGCATGCCCTAGTAATTTTCTTAGTAGTTTTTTCTTGTCAGTACAGCAGTGCGTATACGTAACAAAAATAAATTTATAGATGAAATTAAGACATAATCCAGAATAAGCCTAAAATTATTGTTTAAAATATGCATTAGTAATTTTCATGTAATGTAAAAATCCTAATGAAAAATGTTGTCCTTCATTTTTGTTCTAAACATTCTGATAACTTAGTGCAGGCAATGTGACGAGCTCGAATTTAGAGTCATCCATTGATCCGAAAAATATTAGCAAGAGTTGTACACGCAAATGGAAAAGTGGCATTGGTCTTTTTTCTCCCCCTTCGAACATCAATTTCTTTGTTACAAAGCGTTTCTTTTTTATTCACACTTGTTTTTCTTTTTAATCACATTAAATAATACACAGAAATATTGTCAGGAGTTTCCTAAAGGCCGCATCTCCGGAAAATAGTTAAATTATCCCCTTAAGACCTCCAGGACCTACAACTAATTCTTAAGCAATTGCTTTAATTCGACCAGCGGTTCCTAAGCTAGCTAGCATTTATTTACTGCATAAAATTATTGCATAAAAATCTTCTAAATCAGAGGATTTCTTTTCTTTTGCTTGACCCGACTCTCAATTTTTTTATTTTTCCTTTAATAAAGGACATTTCATCAAAATAAACCGAGAAGTTATGTGCTGCAAAGACTTTGGTCACTTATTTATAATTAATTCTAAGAAAATATATAAAACTAATGTATACCGAGAGCTGAGGAGGGAAGCAAGGTGCATTTGCAGACGAAAAAAGGGAGGCCGAGATGTGTCACTACGAAGAGCTTGAGAAGCTAGCCGACAATGGTAATGCTCTTGAATTCCAGGAAATACTTCTCCAGCCTGGTGAATGGTAGTGAAAGTGTAACATACCTTCATATTGCATATGAGGGTCTAACGAGCATATTGTATGAAATACTAAAACCCACCGTGAACAATCTGCTTGGACCTTAAAAGCTTGAAAAGAGCCTAACTGTATTCGGTATTTCCAATTGACGTCAAACTGCGAAAACAAGAAATGAATGGCGCAATATTGTCGATTTGGCTACAATCGTAAACGGTGTCTACCCCGGTAAAGAAGATGATATAAAAATATTTCATTCATATCCTTATACTTATAAGTTTAGCTACATTTTCGTACAGTTATCGACTACTACCTACTACTACGCATGTAGTTCAAATCAGTTTTAGGTATCATCAGGTGCCACTGTTAATTAGTAGGTACGTTTTTCGGCTTTTGAAATTAACACGGGAAATGCCTGGTGAAAGCTTCTGTACCATTTTGTTTTATTTGTGAAACGACAAAATCAAAAACCCCTACAAAAGTTGAAATAATTCAACCTAAGTCCATAAAAGAAGAAGCACTGAAATTAAGAATTTTTAGGTGTGTGGTCTGCATCAGTCCTACAATATTGACTTTAAATTATGTACATCCGATGAAAAGTCTAAATTTTTCCATCTGTTAATCTGTTTGTGCGCAAACTAGTCTCTCTGCTTTTCCAATATTTCAACCAAACTTTGTACCCATTCGCTACAGTATATTTGAAGGACAATTTAACGGAAGCGGTCCGATTGGACTACTATAGCATACATATTTAAGATCAATTGTTCAGATATGAAGTTTTGAGTTAAAAATACGTCAAAAAAAAATCTAATTTTTTTTCGCTGTCCCTGTTGACTGTATTTACACACCCCCAGCTATTTTAATTTCTAAAAAAGCAAGAAAAACGCTTCTTGCTACAAGTTTGTTGTCAATGTAATATATGATTAATTATAAATATAAATGAGTATGTTTTTTTATATATTTGCATTATAAACAAATCTCCATCAAGTTTATTTGTTTCTTGTTTTATCAAAAACTCATACACCAGCGCGATGAGCTGTCTGATTTGTTGTTGACATTTTAATGCGTATACATTCTTATGTATTAATATTTTACATATATAGTATATTATTGATTCCTCTATCAGTATTGTGTCCAACTCATTGATTACACATATTGATTGATGAGTCCGTCCCTCTGAAGTGTTGAGCGCTTAGATGGTCAATAAAGATTATACATACATATATATGTATGTACATAAGCATATATATATAGCTGTTGGTTTAAACAAATCACAATAAAACACTAATGTGTCAAAGTAGAAAAGGCTTTTTATTAATAACCTAAATTTAATACAATATCGGTTAACGAACTACTCAAGATAAAAGTGTTTTTGAGGAGATAATCAATAGCAGCTAAACAAAATAAAATCTAATGTGTTAACCAAAAAATTCAATATTGTCTTGGGAGAGACTCCTAACTCTAAAGCAACAATATTTTTTGGATTTTTCTATGATGGGTTGCTCGTATGCTGTATGCGTAAAATATGAGTCATTTATTTTGAAAGTGGTTTAGGTCCATTTTTTCTGATAATGAGATATTTAAAAAAAAAAAATAATGATAATAAGTTGATTTTATGACTTTGTGACCTTAAACATGCTAGAATATATAACGTAATACGTTTTGTAAACTTTACTAGAAAAAAAGCTGTGCTTCATAACCTCAAATGGACTTAACTCACTTTCAAAATTAGTAAACAGACTTTTTTGTTTGTGTAAAGGAATAAATCCACTTTGTGCTATTTGTTTAGTATTATTATAAGATAACTTTATATAATTCCAATACAATTATTATATGGGATTGATAAGCAAATAAAAATATATCAGATGTACAACTTTGCTTCCGCCGTTTTCCGATAGGTGGCTGTACCGGCTGAGGCTGGTTGAAATACATAGATGGCAATGCCTTTAATGTGAATTGTCATCGCCGTTTCAGCGACAGTTGTTCTTGTTTTCGTATTATTCACGCTCGAAAATGTCCGTGTATGTGCCTAATTCTCGCCATTTGCGGGAAGTTTTACCTTTCTGTTACAATTCGAAAAAAATGCAGCTGAAGAGCATCGAATGCTCTCAGAAACTTACGGTGATGCTGCTCTGAGTGAAAGAACGTGTGGAGAGTGGTTTCAACGTTTTAAAAATGGTGATTTCGATGTCGAAGACAAACATGGTGGTGGAATCAGCTCGGTGTGATTTACTACGAGCTCTTAAAACCGGGAGAAACCATCACAGGAGTCCGCTACCGAACGCAACTGATGCGCCTTAGTCGCGCGCTAAAAGAAAAGCGGCCACAATATCAAGAGCGACATGACAAAGTCATCCTCCAACATGACAATGCTCGACCTCACGTCGCCCAAGTGGTCAAAAAGTACCTGGAAACGCTGAAATGGGAAGTCTTGCCCCATCCGCGGTATTTCCCAGATGTCGCCCCTTTTGACTTCCACCTATTCCGTTCGATGGCACACGGCCTGGCAGATCAACATTTTCAATCCTTCGAAGAATTGGAAAAATGGATTGCTTCGTTGATAACGTCAAAAGAGGACTCCTTTTTTCGAGCCGGGATCCGAAAATTGCCGGAAAGATGGGAGAAAGTTGTCGCTAGCAAAGGACAATACTTTGAATAATATATCTGTAAGAACTTTTTCGCAATAAAGCTTTTAATTTTGTAAAAAAAATGGCGGAAGCAAAGTTGTACAGCTAATACTATACTTTCACAATAATGTTGAAAAAATTATACAAAAGATTTGAATACCTACAGATTTCTCTAAATAGTTATATCTTTAAGGTGAGTCCTTGAAATTGTTTTTTTAAAGGAATTAAACAATATTAATTGTAAATAATTGTTTTTTAAATCATTTTCACTTTGTGAATCCAAAATTTTTTTAATTTCTTTGCACAAGGTATACGAGTATTGAAAATAGTAACCGATAATTTCACAAGTCATTTTTAAAAATAATAATAAATAATAAGTAAATTCTTTATTTTTACTTGGGTCATTATCTGAGGTAATTCCAGTGTAATCTTTGTCCGACATATTAAAGATTATAATTGGAACTTAGAAAACTATTTAAATTATATTTAATAAACTATTGCACTGTTAAAGAATACTAGAAATTCACCTACTAAAAACACTTTAATATAACCGAACAAACTAAAATTTTTTAATTTTTTACCGTTACAATTTTTACTGCTTGGTGGTGAATTTTATTGCATTTTTGCGGAATTTTGTAATATAAGACATTCCATATGGAAATTCTTTCTTTCAGGGCACTTAAACCAGTTTCAAAATAAATTTCTTTTGCATTTTGTTAACTAGCTAATTTTCAAGTGTCCCAAATCATAGCGATTTCAATAATACTAGAGTTAAAACTTTTATAGAAAAATGTTATAAAAGATTATTATTATTGTTATCAATAACACATGATTTTTTTTTTTTTTTTTTTTTTTTGAAATTATTAGCACTGCGCACTTACCTTTAGTAGCCGCTTGCACACTGCTACCCACACTTGCCATGGTCAATGAGTGGCAACGATAACTGCCCGCAAAATAGATCGCCAATGCGCCGATCGCAGCGCCGAGCACGGTAAATGCTACCGCCAAAATCAGCAGGCGTCGTCTCTGCTGCGGCTCCTTCGTCAACCAATCGCTCTGCTGGTTGGCATGATTACGGTGGCTGTGGTGCATGGGAGTTGTGGTGCTTTGATAAGGTGAGGGTACATTGCGCTGTAGGGTGGTGCGTGTTGCAGCCGCACCTAAGCCACCGCCAGTGCCTGCAACAGCGCCACTAACACCACCGCCGCCACTGTCCGTGCCTAAATACACTACCGTTGGTAATTTAACATGTGGCCCATTATTCGCTGCACTGTTATTCAAGTTCTTGCTATTCTGTTGTAGGCTGTGCAATGTTTCGTCGGACAGCGCCGTTGTGGCAATGCCGCTGCTGTCTTCGAGCAGCGGCGAAATGGCGGTGGTCGCACCGCTGTCATCCATAGTGCTGCCGGTGCTTAAACCGAAGATGTGCGGTGTGCGTAGATAACCATTATTCAATAATTTATTCGTGTCGGGCATAACCGATTCTTGGTTGTGCTTTGGGCGAGTGGAGTGATGGCACGCGGCAAACTGCGTGATTATGTTTCTATTTGTATTTGCTTTATTCCAAATAATTTTATTTAATTTGAAATAATATTTTATTTAGAGAGAATTGCACTCCAAGCACTTTTTTTTGCTAATTCATTTAACACTTTCACAGCTGCGTTCATCAATGAAGATTAATTTAATCACTGACCGGTTGCCAAAGTCCGCAGATGTCCGTTAGTTATAATTAATTAAGCGAGTGATTTATTGTTTATTTGTGAAACTTAATTTTACCAAAGCAAAAGAAAAAATTCATTTATAATTTATCGATTTCATATACATATATGTATTGGGTGGCTGCATTAGCCGACTGGTTAGTAAAGCGTACTGGCATTCTGAAGGCCGAAGTTTGAGACCTTTTACGACTAACAACCAAAAATATATAAAAAATAATTTTCTAATTGAAATTGCTGCTCGGAAGAGAATATAAAGCCCTCCGAGTGTATTTGTGGGATAAAATGAATGCTCCTCATAAAAATCCATCGGCGGTTCGGAGGCGGCTTAGTACAAAATGAGGGCCCCTTCATTTTGTTGTAAAACACCAGCACAAAACGCTTCAGCGGTTACCAAGCGCCAATTATATATTATATGCATATATATTTATATTTATGTTTATATTTATATTTATATTTATATTTATATTTATATTTATATTTATATTTATATTTATATTTATATTTATATTTATATTTATATTTATATTTATATTTTTATTTATTTCTATATTTATATTTATATTTATATTTATATATATATTTATATTTCTATATATATAGGTGTAGTAAGAAGTAATCCATTATTTCTCCAATAGATGGCGTTATTTAACTGTGTCTCGCGTTATATAAGTCCGATCGGATAGCATTAAAAAGATGACATTTCGTACTACAAAATCTTTTCTGAGAGTTTTATGATTGGTTGATTCAGCTTTGTGGGAGTGTTTACGGTTTTTACCGTTTTCTTTGCGAAAACGCAAGCCAGTCGGCTGAAAGCGTGAATAGCCTTTATGGATCTGATACTGTCAATCATGCAAAATTTCGGTTTCATTCCGGTAATTTTGATGGAAAAGATGCTTCATGGAGTGGAAAGCCAATCGTCGAAAATGTCGATAATATCATAGACGTTATCGAGTCCGACCGTGATGTAGGATAGACGTACGATCCACATTATGACAGATTTTTCTGATCTTGCTTTACGGGCTAGCGAAATCAAACTTGTGCAACAATTAAAGTCGAACGACCATCAAGTGCCTCGCTCATTCGATGAATGGGTACAAAACGAAATAGCCCCCAATCACCACTAGAAAATTTCAATTCAGCGTTCAGTTTTGGTTGGATGGGGACGCTAAAAACAACATTTTTGAATTTGGAGTGATGTCAATCCACAAGCCGCTGTTGAGACGCCTTATCATTGGCTATTATATTGAAAAATATGTGTTTTCTTTCTTCTTAAAAAGAAGTATTTTAGATTTTTTTTAGACTACCTTCATCAAAAAGTTCTCAAAATTAATTTAAAAAAATTATAAATACAAGATTTCACATGAAAATCAATACTATCCCCTTCAAAGCATTCCCCATCGACTGCAAGGCACTTATGCCAGCGCTTGATCTAATCCTCGAAACATTTTTCATATTCGGTTCGCGGCATGACCAACAGAGTCATCTTCGATTTTTCCAAACACGTTCCACATAGCAGTTTCTTGAGTCTACTGAATAAAAAAAATTGCAGGAAACCAGATCAGTTGAATTTGGTGGTTGTTGAATGGTATTCGTTTCGTTTTTAGCCAAATGCTCACGGATAATGAAGGCATTATGCGACGCACGTTATCATGGTGCAAGATCCACGAGTTGTTTGCCCATAAATCCGGTCTTTTTAATGCTTCACGAAAGCATCTCAGAACGGCTAAATAATACTCCCTGTTGACGGTCTGCCCTTGTGGGAGGAATTTGTGATACAAATACTTTTGTAATTCAAAAAAACTGTGACATTAGTGTTTAAAATTTTTAGAAAAGCCAAAATTCAAATACAAGCCCAATAGAAATCAAAACCGAAACATTTAGCAAAGCTCTTACTAATATTATACAACAACATTACTTCGAATCCATCTTTTTCCCTTGGCATTTCTGTTAACACAGATGCTAATATTATTTTGTATTATTATCAATTTATATAAAAATGAAATTATGCCAACATTTTTGTACATATCACGAAAATAAACTAATTGATTTGCTTCAAAGTGGATTTTCCATTAAATATTTGTATGAAAGCAATTTTCTACTATTTTGTTAAATAAAAATGTTTTTTATTTTTCGGTATTAAAATCTGCCACTTGCACTTTAAAGCTTATTTGTGAATTTCTAAATTATTTCGTGCTTACTTTTAGTATTTCAATTAATGAATAAATTTAGAATTATATTTCGCATTCTTTTTTGGTTGTTTTGTTGAACAGACCGATCATAAAAACTTACAAGTGGGCAGCTAGACAACATAAAATATATTGTGCTGTCGTAAATTGCAAGTCAGTGGGAACTGCTGACATATATTTTGAAATCAACTATTCAATACATTGTCACGAAAGTTGCGATTTTTTGCCAAATTGATACATAAATACGTTTACTTATATCCCATGTAGGTAAATGTGTGAGTAAGATCAAAACTTGTTTTTAGCAGCAGAAAAGGTTGCAGAATACCTGCCGGACCTTGTTACCGGCGTTTCAATACTTTTATCTTTACATTCTTGTTTGTTTTAATTCTGCCAATTATTTTATACACTGCGGACAAGCTTGATGGATGCGAAGTGCTACCAATTAGTGGCTAATACAATAAGTGAAGAAACAACAAAAACAGAGAATAAATTAAAGCCGAATTTCAGTTTTAGTTGCGTCAATAAATAAATCAAAACACAAACAAGATAAGCGTGTTCATATTATAAATCACACAGCAACAACTGCTTAAAAATAATAAAATTCACTCTTGTGTGGAGTTTAAATTGAATAAAAATAAAATAAAAGTTATTTCATTTAATTCTTTTTTTCTTATTTTTGTTTTATTTCCTTTCCACACAGATTTTTGGCATTCTCTGAATATATCATTTATAATTGTTATAATTCTTTTTTTAATTTGAATTGTCTTCTGTATCTGTTTGTGTTCATAATTGGTTTTATACTTTAATTAGTTTGATTTTTTCATGTTTTTTTTTTACTTAGTTTACAAGCTGTTTGTACGCTAAAGTCACTGAGCCGTGTACGTTGAGAATCCACTTTGCATTTGTGCGTTGAAAATGTCAAACAACTTCATCAGCTCCCACCACGCTAATTAACTAAGCTTCACTCTCTTACAAACGCATACACACCTTGTTTATGTGAAATGTGAAATGTGAAATACTATTCCACTCAATTTTCACTGGCTAAACATAAATACTACTATTTCATTTATTTCGTCACCAACTCTGAAAACCAAAGCACCAACAACAGTGAAACAGTGAAACGATTTTGACTTTCTATCTCCTTTGGCTTTGGCTCGACGGCGTACTGCACTCGCGTGGCGCTGCTTTGCAACTGAGCGTTGGCATGGCACATCCTTAGCTTTTAAATTCAAATTTTGCTGAGAGCTTTTTTGAGTCGCGTGTAAGCCATATGGAGCCATTAAAACAACACAACTCGCCACAGAAGTGTTAGTACTATGGATAAAATTGCAAAAAAAAAAACAAAAAGCGACTAAGCAGAAATGGAGGAAGAAGAGGAAACAAGTGTAACAGTAACAGCAATGACAATGATAATGGTCGTACACAATAATGATATATAGAGCTCTAAGATTGCGTCTTTCCGGCACCGTTATTAACTGTTATAAAATTTGTCAATGAGCTAAAGCTTTGCCGACGTCACACTTCATGCTTAGTAGTTGATAGCAAGTAAGTTATCCATTTCGTGGCCACGTTTTGTGTTTTAAGAAAGTATTGAGGCGCACATAATCGTCCAACTATTCAAGCAATCGGCAAAATTTCAAAGATATTTTAAGAGACTATATCGGCCTTCCCAAGATCTGGGACTTTCATATAGCACAACATGGCGTACTTTGCACTTGAACTTACTCCTACATCCATGTAAAGCTCATCCCACACTACAACTGAAGCCAGCTGACCATTAACAATGCCGTACATACGCCGATTGGGTGCTGAAGCAGCAAGCCAGCGGTAGGCGATTTTTCGAACAAATTTTTTTCAGCGGCAGGGCACATTTTTCACTCAGTGGATGTGTTTTAAGGCCGCGTAAAAGTCCGAGAGGTCGTTATTTGAAAGGATGAATAAGTTAAGAGGCCACATTCCTGGGTGCAGTATCATTTGGCGGAATTACAAGGGTTGATGGAAATTCATCACCCAATTTTTACAATTATTTGCACACTTTGCGATTTTAATGAGTTACACTCTTGCAGTGAATTCTGCTTTATATACATATGCACTACAGGGGGTGTGATACTGCGTAGCTCTTGGATGAAAGCCTGCAAGCACTCCAAAGATGAATGGTTTAAAATATGATGACCTCAAAACTGCATGCCGGATGATTCTATACTCGTATGCCTTAGACTGCGTGATGAAACTCCCAGCACACCCACCAAAACTCAGAACAATTAATCTATTTCATGGACAACACACTTGAGTGAGGGCGGATTGGATTAACCCTGCCAAGTGAAAATACAATGCAGAACATGACTCCATTGGAGATTCTCTGCTTATCTAATAGAATGTAGTTTGAAAATATACAAGAATATAAACTTGAAAAAACTTGTTTCGTTTTTATGTGATCAAAATATTATTTATTTGTTCTTTTAATTCACATTAAATCAATCACAAACAAAGAAAAATACCTAAACTTTGTTTAAAATTTCATCAACTGCTCCAAAATCGTTTTATTTTAATATTTTGATTTTTCAAATATGCGGCGAAAAATGAGGCGAACTGGCACTTCAACAAAACAACATCGAATTTATGACGTCTACACAAAGAACAAGACGTAATCTAGTATTGAGTCGTTCACACTTACAAACGTTCATATATGTGCAAGTAAACAAGAGGAACTCTTCGTAGTGGCTGTAGAAGTGGTTATGGGGTTGGTAGTGGCGAATAACAAAGCAAAGCCAAGCCAACCAAGCCGAGTTAGTCATTGTGGGGTATCCTTATTGCTCGCTTGTTGAGCAAACGCTAACAGTGGCGGCACTTCGGAGTGCTTGCATGTGTCGACACGTAACTGAGTTGTGATAAAGAATTTGTTTGCGCATGCTTTGCTGGTGATACTACTACTACTACTACTACTACTACTACTACTACTACTACTATTTGTAGTCAATTAATAGTATGCAAACTATAATTGGCAAAATTAGTAAAATAAATGTTAAATGAATTTGCGTTGGACTACAAAGCATTAATGGGACTGATTAATTTGTATTATGTATGTAAGTATTGCATGCAAATAAGAAAGAAAATTATTTGAACATTTTCTAAATTAATAAGTATATTTTTTTCAAAAAAATTTTATTTCAATTGTAATATTGCAATGAATTTAAATTTTTGTTTGTTATTATTTTTGTATATTTTGGTGCTTGAATGATTTATAATAGCATTTGTTTGGTTAGTTTTTTACAGCTTATTGTCAAGTTTGTAATTTGACGGTTGATTTGTTTGCTAGCCCTCAAAAGCTTTGTTAATACTTGATTTATTTGTACACAATTTTGTTTGTATAATAAAAAATGAGGTTTAGTAATTTTTTGTTATAAACAATAAAGTTGGTTCGTGACATTTTGAACAGGACGTGCTTGTGTTTTTCTTTAATTCTAGGTAAAAAAAGTCTTTTTAGAACCGATTTTCGTTTGACAAATGTATGTATGTAATAAATAATTTTTAAAAGGTTAATGAAATTTTTGCGAAATTACGGTCAGCACAAAGGTTTGAAATATGCATACAAAACGTTCAACGATGCATGTGTACGGTTAATGCTTTGTTTAGAACAATTCTTTTTCAGATTTGCCCACTCTGAGGTAGAGAAGCTGCAATTAGACTTCAAAAAATGACGAAAGCACTCAATTTCGACGGATTTGCTCTTACTAGTTTTTTCAAACGAAATTATAAACATTGATATGAACTCCACGTAGTTGGCAGTATCGACCTAACAGTCGTATCTGAGTGTCGCACGTCTGGTCTGGTTGCCTTCATTTCGGCGATGACATTTTTCCAATGCCATAAATCATAGAATTGATGTCTATAGAGTTAACACTTATATTGGGGAAAGTGTGTTTGTGTTTGGTCTTTTAATAAACTAAACAATAAAATTGAAAAATGCGGAATACACGTTAAAGCACTAATTAAGCTCACTACCACCTGCTGTTCGTATAATGCTCTATATTTAAATAAACATCTATATACTACTTAAGTACATACTAGCGTATGCACACAGATGAGTATGAGCACGTCTGTTCATTTGTTTTGACGGCGGAAATGCTCGCGCAAAACAATTATTTTACAATGTCTATTAACCTACGATTTTTTTTTTGATATACAGGGTGCGCCATCTACAATATATGTGATCAATGGAAATGTTGAATAACTTGAACAATTTTCAATAAATTTGTATCAACTTATTTAATTTCAAATTTAAGGCTGTACAATTTTTTCGAGCTACGTTGGAACAACAACATCGATCAAATGACCCCCTTCATCACGCAAACAAAACTTCCCTCTTTTATCGGCATTCCATTACATTTGCCAGCATCTCGAGCAATATCACAGCGATTCCACCTCGAATGTTGTTCTTCAGCACGTCCAAGGTCCTCGCTTTGTTGGCATACACTTTGCTTTTCAAAGAACCCCACAAGGAAAAGTCTGGTGGAGTCAAGTCGGGTGATGTTGGTGGCCAGTCGACATCCCCTCCTTTCAATTGCCCACGTCTGGGGAACTTTTGCCGCGAGAATTCCATCGTTGCCTCCACTGTGTGAGTCTCCTGTGAGTCTCGAGATTCGAAGCCAAGCGACGAATGGTGTCACTTTTAGTCGCATCTCGGCCGCGATTCTTTTTCTGATACGCACGCTGTGTTGCAACAATTGAACGATTGAACTCAATATACATTATAACTATTTCCGCACGTTCTTTGAGCGTATGTCGATACATGGCTGAAATTATATTGTCAAAGTTATTCAATATTTCCATTGATCACATATAGATGGCACACCCTGTATATACATACATACACTGGCCACCGAAAAAAAATATATATATTAAAAACAAGCTATCCCGTGCCCGCTCAATTGCACATGTTTTAGGGATTACGTTTTTATGGCGCTGATTGACAGCGATAATGAATATGTTATAGATACATTCTTATATATATATAAGCACCCATTATCGCTTAAATTATTACTCCCACTAAGTATAGTATCTGCAAAAAAATATATTTATATTTGGTTGTGGAAAATGTTGATAGATAACCAAATGAATTGTTTGCGATAGACGGGGCGAAGTAATATCGTAAATTTGATTTACTGTTAAGCGTACTTCAAATATAAATATGTATATTCGTATAAACATAATTTATGATAAAATGTGCCAATGCTTTAGGTAATTTTTTTGTATTTGCATACATGCAAAATTATTGGTATGTATGTATGTCATTTTTATATATATTATTTATGATAATTTGAACACCATTATTAGCTTTATATACGTGTATGTATATATTATCTATGCATACTATTATAATTATTACATATAGTTTTTGTAACTTTGTTATGTTTTTTGCACAAAATAATAGGCATTTTCCCTAATTCACTACACCGTACACATATTTCTGTGCAAGTTAAAAAAGATTCGATGAGATCTGTGGTTTGGCAGTGGGCGTGACATTCGTTATTAAAATAGTAATTCACAAAATATGTCCAAATCTTTAGAAAATTCGATAGTAAATTTATAAAAATTAAAAAACACTACAAAAGGATCCAGACACCATTTCTGCACATAAATATGCAGCACACACATATGTCTACACATGTAGTGACGATGTGGAGGCAACCACCTGTGGATTTGTTATCGATTGTACAGTTGCATGGCTGCCGCTAAGAAAGCAACATGACGTATGAGTGACATTTACATTTTACAAGTGTACTCATATCACAAACACTCAACCACCATCATATACATTAAAGAACATCAAAATTTTACCCAGAGCTCTTTGAGTTTTAATAGAACCGTTGCGTCGCATTAATATCAACTTATCGATGTAGCACATTATTATCAAAATCTTATCAAAAAATAAAATTTAAAAAAAAATAAAATAAAATAAAATCAAATAAAATACAACATAATATAATAAAATTAAATAAAGTGGAACATAATCAAATAAAATAAATGTAGATAAAATAAAAAATTGAGATTCGTTTAAATTAAATTAAAATATAATAAAATACCATAAAATAAAATAAATTAATCAAATTAAAATAAATTAAGTGAAACAGAACAAAACAAAATAAATTGAACTGTAATGAAATCAAACAAAATTAAATTTAAATGAAATAGCATAAAAG